TTTTGTAAATATTGAGCATATAAAACCCATATTTACTGAATACAGTTCATTTTTTATTATGTGTGTTATTCTGTTTCGTTTCGTTTCTTCGATTACAATAAGCCTTCTCCGTATGCTTGTGTTGGAAATGCCGGGTAGATCCCAGTGGGAAAGTTCGGGCGGACGTTTGCGGCCTAGTCGGGGCTATGGGTCCGCCAATTCGGGGCCAAGGGCGTTGTATGAGAATGGTTGTTGCGAGAGAGGGCCTACTGCGGGCGCATCAACCCTGTGAGTTTATTCTGGGGGCCTATTGCAGACATTAGCATTTTAAAGGGGCCTATTTGCCTCCCGCGCGGGCTCGCTCTGGAAGGTGAAAAACACCCCGCTTTCCCGCTAAATTTGGAACGCACATGGGGTAGTAACAACATATAGAGTGAACCCCCGGGGAGACTACTCCCCCGCTTTAACAAAATAATGAGTAATAATATTCGAAACATGTACATTGTTTTATTGGGCGACTTTATCTCAGTTGCTAAGGGGATATCATGGCTGCAATAGACAAATCAATTCAAATCATTCTTTTCATACATTTTTTGATTTTTGGCAAAAATAAAATTTCCTTCTGTTCGCAGTATTCTCGGGCGGAAATCCGGGCATTTTCACCGCATAACCATCACAGTGAAAACTCTCAGAAAACGGTACTTTGGGATGATAGCTGAGACTCCTCTGAACAGTGTAACAAGATTACCCCTGCGTGTGTAACGTATATAAATTTGATTGTTCAGGATTACTTCAAAGTTGAGTTCCTGTTGTTTTCTCGAATTTTCATCGGCTCTTCGCTCGGCCACAGTCCCTCAACACCGGGACTGTGGCTCGGCGTTCCGCGTTCATGTAGTCCCATCTTTATGTTAAGCAGTGCCGTATTTATGTTATGTAGTCATGTATTTATGCCATGTAGTTGTGTATATTACGCAGTCCAATTTTAGTGTTATGCAGTCTTGTATTCATGTTATGCAATCCCATCCTATGTTGGAACTGCATAACATAAAGGTGGGACTGCATAACATGAAGGTGGGACTATATAACATAAAGATGGAACTGCATAACATAAAGATGGGACTGCATAACATGAATATGGGACTACATAACATAAAGATGCAACTACATAACATAAAGACGGGACTATATAACATAACGATGGAACTACATAACATGAATACGTGACTATATAACATGAATACGTGACTACATAACATGAATACGTGACTACATAATATAAAGGTGGGACTATATAACATAAAGGTGGGACTACATAACATAAAGACGGGACTATATAACATAAAGATAGGACTACATAACATAAAGGTGGGACTACATAACATAAAGGTGGGACAATATAACATAAAGGTGGGACAATATAACATAAAGACGGGACTATATAACATAAAGGTGGGACTACATAACATAAAGATAGGACTACATAACATAAAGGTGGGATCAATATAACATAAAGACGGGACTACATAACATGAATACGTGACTACATAACATAAAGGTGGGACTACATAACATAAAGGTGGGACTGCATAACATAATGACGGGACTACATAACGTAAAGGTGGGACTATATAACATAAAGATAAGACTACATAACATAATGACGGGACTATATAACATAAAGTTAGGACTACATAACATAAATGTGAGACTATATAACATAAAGGTGGGAGTACATAACGTAAAGACGGGACTATATAACATAAAGGTGGGACTACATACATAAAGGTGAGACTATATAACATAAAGGTGGGACTACATAACATAAAGGTGGGACTACATAACATAAAGGTGGGACTATATAACAGAAAGACGGGACTACATAACATAAAGGTGAGACTACATAACATAAAGGTGGGACTACATACATAAAGGTGAGACTATATAACATAAAGGTGGGACTACATAACATAAAGGTGGGACTACATAACATAAAGGTGAGACTATATAACAGAAAGACGGGACTACATAACATAAAGGTGAGACTACATAACATAAAGACGGGACTACATACATAAAGGTGAGACTATATAACATAAAGGTGGGACTACATAACATAAAGGTGGGACTATATAACAGAAAGACGGGACTACATAACATAAAGGTGAGACTATATAACATAAAGGTGGGACTACATAACGTAAAGACGGGACTATATAACATAAAGGTGGGACTACATACATAAAGGTGAGACTATATAACATAAAGGTGGGACTACATAACATAAAGGTGGGACTACATAACATAAAGGTGGGACTATATAACAGAAAGACGGGACTACATAACATAAAGGTGAGACTATATAACATAAAGGTGGGACTACATAATATGAATACGTGACTACATAACATAAAGGTGGGACTATATAACATAAAGGTGAGACTACATAACACAAATACAGGACTGCATAACATGACAGAACATCACATAAGACAGTTACAGCGTTCCATATTATCTATACTATATGCAACTAAAGAGCGGCCATTTTGGAACATTCCAGCATTGTGAACTATTTTAAAACGCATTTTTCATCGATATTTGATGCCTTTTTTTTTGAAAAAATCGATGACCCTATATTTTTTCAGAATTTTGAACATTACAGTAACCCGACCCCTTACTGGGTTTCTGAGTATTTTTAATGATAGCAAACTAACCCAAGTGGGCATTATTTTTTTACTCCGCCCGGAAATCAATTATCCAGGGTACTTAACTAAAATTAATCTTGATAGTACTATTACTATCTGATAAATAAGCATGTTTCTTTCAAGCATCGACAATAGTATACTATATTCTGTTTATACTGAGTATATAAACAGGTAATAGCGATGTATACAAACATTTGAATTACAAATGTACTCACACGAGAGAAATGAAAAGACTCACATTGACATTTTATTTGCCTCTAAACTCGAGAGTTTACATATAATGAACTATATAAATTGTCCAGCATATTAAAACCTCTGAACAAATAATCAAAGTCATTCACTGCCAAGTCAGCTAGCTACAATCAAACAACCACCAACCCAACTTACTGAACCAACCAACATCGTGTTGTGCCCTTTAAAAAAATATAAATTTTAAAATGTTAAATAAATATAAATTGATAGCTTGTGGAATAACTACATGTTATGAGATAAGCATATAATACGTGAATATGTAATGATTTCAATTATTGACGAATACAAGGATGACATGTCTTTTTAAGATCACTTGGTTAATTAAATAATTGAAATGCTGGAAACGGTTTCAATATTTCAGATATTCTGTAGCTTCCATGTCAAATAAAGTAAATTAAGTGACGTTAGTTGGTGGTTTGTGTCATACCGGCTTTTAATGAAATGCGGAGCGACTTTACTCTAATGGAATGAATATATCGCTTGGCTATTTATGTAATTGAAATGTTCAAAACGATTATATAATACATGGTATTACATCAATTTTGAAGCTCCCATGTCGAATAAAATAAATACAGTGACGATAGTGGGTGGTTTGAGTCATACAGGCATGTAAGGGAATAAACTTCTGTATATTCATTGATCGGGTGTCAGGTAACTGTTTTACAATTTAGGTAGCAAATTTGATAGGTATCTTGCCAAACTACACTTCATGCGCATGTGCCACACCGGTAACTCTGTGACGTCATGAAATGACTTGTTTTGCTATTACTTGCACACTAGCTGACGGTAACATATTGTTACACATACTAATAGTTTTCATTTTGTATGATTATGAAATATTTGCTCAAATGTATGCCAAGCACGCTGTATGTTATCGCCTTGAAACAATACAAACTATCGGTAGAGGATTGACGTTTGTGTCCTTCCCTGTATTGATTTTCTTCTTCGGAAATTCATAATTGCCAGCAGAGTTGTTAATGGTCTATCCTTAAAGAGCGCTGATCAACGCGCTGCGCATGTGCGACATTTTTGTTGATAAACATTCATTTTCCCACAGTCCAATGCTCTTCTAATGGAAATCATGTAGAAGCTTGCAATTATTACCGCCGGTTACACCTTCGATACCTTCCAATCATCAGAAAAATACTTAATTAAAGCTTGGAATCGTCTCAGTTTGTACTCGTTGATTTGCAGTCAAAGTCGCCATGTTTGTTTATATGAGACACATATATCTCGCGCATGCGTGGCGCGACGACTACCGCGCTTTAAATATACAGACTAAACGAATAGTTTATACTCGTACATTGCTCTATATAATCATATGTACCCGTGGTGGCGCTAGAGCAGTCGCTATCTGTATCAGCAAGGATTGCATATGAAATGGCGAGCAAAATTTTAACAGAAAAAACTATGAAGTAAAACCACCTGAATTTGTACTAAGATTGAATCATATGACATACATTTTATGTCACGTCCCTGGTTACCATTGTTAAGTTCAACAAAAACAAACGAACATATTAGGAATAAGTATAAAGGAAATGTTATACTATAACCGGCTACATATTCTGCTTTGGTAACTTTTTATTGTAACGTTTTCTCGTCGAATTTCCTGTGCAAGCACTTATTAACCGTTTGACGTTTGCGATTTTTTGGCTTTATTTAAATGCTGCGTGGACAAACTCGCCATATGTATTTATCCTATTTGCCACTTGGTGGCGCAATATAGTCTCTAAAAGTGACAGGAGTAGTAAAGTTCCCGGATGTGAGCTAGCAAATCCACTGGGCGCAAGACAAGTACAACGTGTAATTACATCTTACTGAACAGACATCTCGTATACAAGAATGATACGCACCGTTTTCATAAGCTGTGTCTTTGTACTGGTCTTTGGAAAGGGTATGTCATTATTTAGTGTGCTTTGTTTTGTGTGTTTTGTTTCTACTCGAAATAAAATGGGGGGGGGGGGTGCTGATGATACTCGCCATGTAACCGACATGCTCACACAAACTTTCAAAACAATTGAACGTCTAATTATATGTTGGAGGTGGAGGGGGCATGATAAGAATAACTAATTTCGCTAAGATTTGAAAAGTAAAATAAAAAACGTGCAGTCGGATGGCTAGGAACGGATAGCGTCGACATTCGAATCGCTTCTACTGTATCACAACATATAGTCTTGAATCATCCTGCGTTAAGACATATTATCATCCATGTCATCAAGGTCCATTTTACTGTGCGATTTGTCCATATCGGTAGTAGTACACCTCCTGCCTAATTCACGCATAGTTGACAGACATGCTAATAACACCATAACGTGACTAGACGAGACAGTTCAGCGGGAAGTCGTGTACTAATGATAATCCGGAATAGAATTCTGTAATGGCAACAGCAAAATGTCGTAATTAAAATTAATTTGATCAATTTTTTTCTAGGACATTCCATTAAATTACTGACCCGGCTAAAATTGAATGATACCACAAATAATATAAAACAAACAGCAAACATAGATATCCAACCTGATTAATATCTGAAGTATTGTACAGTGTAAATTTAATTTAATTTTTACTATATATATATAAAAGTATTTGTAATTGTTACGTACACGACAGTAGTAGACACCCTTCAGTAATGAAATATAATATGTATAACACTGTGAATGCATCTTCCGTCATTTTGTTTGCATTTTGTTGTTATCGCTTCATGACGTCGAATAATAATAATACATGTATTAATATAATAACACAATAAACATAATAATAGCAATATTAGTTCGCAAAAAAATATTTAAAGAAGTTCAGGATTATCCACTTATCCTAAATTATCTGTCATCATAGTTACCAAGTTGTGATGGTTGGTTTAAAAAAAAGTGATCCATCCTCGACAAAACACGTACATTATTTATATATACCTCGTGACCCTTGACTTGAAATTAATATAAATTAATATAAATTAATATCGATTAATATTGACATTGCGTCACAATTTGAAGTCGTGTTATAAGACAAGTGACACCGTGCATTATAAATGTTATTTTATACTTCTTTGTTAATATAATATTGATTACATATCTGACTGATACGGAGTCATCTTCATTTACTTATTTCCCTGTATTCTTCAATATGATTGCAAGCAATAGAGATGAAAAAAATATGTTTCATATGTCACTTCTGTAATATAATACTCACATATAATATACAATCACTGTTCACTGTATGTTTGCTACTAAGATGGGTGTAAGTAATATTCCGATTCAAGGTTAACTACCAAACAAGTATTTTCTGACAGATTGTTATTAGTTATCGACGATGATAATAAAAATAATAACGCAAAATTCAGTGTTGAGATAATTGATACTTTAAACCGAAATATAACTGCGTCAGTAAAATTCAAATTATAGTACTTGAGTCTGTGTATGTATATCTAAGTCGGTTTAGACGATAAACCCATTGTGAAGCTACTTTATAATACATGACGTGTTCCATGTGAAAATGTGTTTTCTCTATTGTAGCAACACAACAAAACTAATTCTTTCTTCGCCGAATAACTTTCAAAGGAAAATTATGAAATTTCGGAATTTAATTTCCCGCCTCCCATTATATTATTCTGTATCTGTTCCTAGCCGTGTCATGCTGTGCAGTCTGTATACACCAAATCAAATGTATATTACACTGTGCATTAATAGTCATGCATGCAGTCATATGTATTCTGGTAGGCAATATTTCTAGTGCACAAACAAACAAAATGTGAGAAACAGTACAACTGATAGAGCATAACATTCAACCATGTCAGTACTTGACTTATCCAATTTTGTGTAACGTACAACTCCAATGACGTCATACCACAAGGTCAGATTGGTAATTTATTTCACAACGAAAACATTTAATACACGAGCGAAATGTTTCATCAAACCACCCGTCGTTTGGAGTTTATAGGTTACATTTTGTCTCGATGTTTGCGCTTCAGTTGGTTAAGATGCCATACATAAGCAGACGACATACAAGATCTGATGCCTGCTGATTTCTGCCAATTACCGCGTAATGAACATCTTAAAATTATGAATTGATGTCATTGCATTGCGATGAACCAACGGACATGGGGTCACGTTTGCACGGCTAATTGTTTAAGAATGATGTTGATAAATCTTATAGCATATTTTATATCAAATGGTGCATTAATAATGATATGTTATGTTTCCCATTACTGACCTAGTATGCGAGTCAATTTCAACTTTTAACTGACATACTTCAACGTCAAAGTTGTTATTTCCCAGTTTGCATGACACCATTTTGAAAGTCACCTACACTAAAAGGTGTAATATACTTTTAGGTGTAATCTCGAAATTCAATTCACATAATAAAATAGAAAAATCGACATATAGATAGCTATCGATAGACTGAAGTATGTCTTTTGTATTTTCTGGGTGGTAAATGTGTATAGAATAAGTATAGAATAAAGTCTGATTACTATACTGGTCCGACCAATGATGATTTTAGCGAATACTGAAATTTATATCCCAGAAGACTCCGACTTAAAACCATCATCACAAACCATCTATAGATTATTTTTTGAGAAAAGTCTCATACTTTTGACGGAATTCGCTGAGTTCTGCAACTTTCTACATAAAATTCGTATTGTTAAAAGGAGACAATGCCCCCATTGTATAAAAATACACGTGTGCGTATAATGTGGAATGTGTCATTTTAGTCATAAAATGTGTATAGTAGCTGGTGTATCCTAAGGCATCTACATAATAACAACTTATGAATATTCATGATGTAACTCCTAAATTCATCTAGCCCAAATATGGTAAATGATGCTCATCTATATCCAGGTAGCTCAATGTCCGCCTGGCCGATGTGTGATCCTAGTGCGATACCCAACTTCTGTGTTTTTCCCCTAATAGTTCTGATGTCACATGATCTGTATACAAGTTTAAGAATGTTTTAAAAGCTTATAAAATACTCTAAAACGTTTATATAAAAGTTCTAGAATTCTTTATGGAAACAAAGAGCTTTAAATCGAAACAGGCGATTCAGTGTCGATGAAGAAGCAGGAAGGGGACAGCGTTATTTTAAGTGATGTGTCTGCACCAGTATCCACCATCGGTACCAGTGTACTGTGTGTTTGATCTACGCATGAACCTGCTGCTCCTTGGCCCAACCTAATCTGAACTTCTGAAACTGCAGCAAAAGATGACGAGTAACGGGATAGACACATTGTTAATCATGACCGTTTTAAGCAAAACATATATTTCCTTCACTTTATATTCGATCTCTGTCAAAATATTATGATGACCTAGTTTCCTTTTTTTAAATGTCATTAATCATTACTTTTAAATTCTTGTCATCACTAAAAACACGGTTTTATTCAAATATGTGTCTTTGTAATTTGCCTTCCTCCATCTCAGTCACAAGTATTCGCTGGAATAGTAGTATTCATTGGCTTCCATATTTGTCATTTCTTCAAAATTATGCACTTTCAATTTTGTGCTTCGTTCATTGCGATATCGTCATCATAGAGTCGTAGTGGCATAAAAACATCGCGTTAGATTCGATAAACAGGTAACTATATTGGGGGTATATTCACACTTAACAATGTACTATACACATATAATGATAGTCAATTTTGATGAAGTAAAGAGGTCTTAGCGCCGTATTCCTCTATGTAAGATAGGAATTGCGACACTGAAAAAGAAAAGAGTTCAAAATCAAAGCATTCGATTTTGTCTTGCATGCATTACGCAAATTCTATTGAAGATATTATCAGGGGGAAAATCCTTCTCCACGAGGTTCTCCACACTTGCCAGGGGGGAATCTCGTCTCGTCTCTCTGTCGCGTCCCCTTGAGGTACGGGATCGGGAAAGTCACTTTAACTTTACAGTCAAATAAGACACACACAACGAAATACGTTTTAGCTCTCGTCTTAGTCGGTCAATCGAGCACTCTATAAGACACGGCGCCCTGGGGAAAAATCCCCAAGACTATCGCAAGGCTGACCCAAGACTCTCTTAGACTGCGTCAACACTCGCCCCAAGGCTCTCCAATACTGCTCTCGACTCTTCAGGACTGCGTCTATCGTGGAGTACTTGCCAAGACCAACTCAAACTCTCTTTATTCATTTTCAAAACTCTAACCAATTACAAAGCAGTAAAAAGACTCTAAGGCGTAACTTTCAATCATAAAGCCAATCACACTAAGTACTGAATACGTCATATCTTTTGATTAATCGTTCACTACATTAATAACTATGAATATAAACTGTCAGAATGAGTAGTTTGAATAGCGGCGGTTATCTGGTAATTAGTTCCAAATCACTGAGCCAAGTTCCGTCCAAAACTTCAAATAGGCCTAAACGATGACAGACATAACACAGCAATTCAGCTAATAATCAACTAATTTAGTCGGTTAACAGATACGCAAAAACAAATTCATGACAATATGACCAAGTTTATAACGCATTATCATTGGTAGTTGATGGATGGATAATATTTTCCACTTATGCAAACTATAACATTTAAATCGAAGTGTTAGAATTACGTTTCAAATGCGTCTAATTGATGAGACTTGGAAATAAAGTGTGAAATAAATGCATTGGAATTATATTTATTATCATTTTTTTTCCAGTAGTTGATGAGTAGATGATATTTCCCGCATTGAGAAACGTATTTGTTAAAACGCGTATGTTATGATTTTTCACGAAAGGCTTAACATTATGGACACCATTCACATTGCAATGCATACACCAGCCTGTTTTATCGTGAATTATTTCCTCATCAGCTCCTGTGTACCAACTTGATTCCGACACAATTATTCCCGATGAATACATTGTGGTGTTTCACACCGACACTTCGTCCAAAACAGGTGAGAGATTGTTGTTTTAAAATTACATAAAGTCCGTTAATTTTAGACGCTGTTTTTTTCTTGTAGCCAAGTGGGTGCGACACGAGAAATGCCACAACTGATATATTTGATAGTTTTGTTGTTTTCTTGTACAATGTTTGATTTTGATCTCAGAGTTCATCTTTCGTAGCGATTTTCGAACAGTTGTCTTGGCGCATTTACTGTGAATTGTTGTGATCCTGATCGTATGTACTTGTATCGATGCCATGTTTTTCAGAAGGTTTATAAAATAACCGCATTTTCGGCGAAAAAACACACACAAGCATTCCGAAAATTTCTTCAAAAATAAATAAATAATATTCCTTGCTAAAAGTATTCTGGAATGAGCTCTGTTTTGTATATAATTGTCTTTTATGTGTAAAATAAAATAAAAGAAAAGATGTGTTCTTTCTCAGTCGTGCAGCACATGAAGAATTTTGCCGATTCTTTTATCAAATCTAAGAATTCTTCAACTGAAATATTAAGTGAATTCAACATGAAGAACTTTACCGGATACGCATTCCGTGGTCCAATCAGGTAAATATGTACCTACATATTAAGATGACAAATGACGACCTCTATATCAAGGAATACAATTTTGGAGAATACATTTCGAATCTTAATAGTGTGAGAAGGAAGTATAATGTATTTTAAATCTATTCAGTGTGTGATATAAATATACTTTATATTTGTCCCAGTTAGCTTCACCTAAACCAACTTTCATTGTTATTGTTTGTTTCTACGAAGAGGATGCCTTATTTTTGACAGTACGTCACATGTGAACCGTGGCGATTCAATTCATTGCTAATTCTTATTTTTAATTGTAACTTTTTTTCTTATGTATTACAGTGTTGTTGAAATATTACAGGATATGCCAGAAGTGGAATTTATCGAAGCTAATCAGGCAGGTTGTTATTACTGTAATATTGTGTAATACCTTGCATTGTTCCTGCCCTCTGTGGCTATGTGTCTATGTTCCAGCCCTCTGTGGCTGTGTTCCAGTCCTCTGTGGCTATGTTCCAGCCCTCAGTGGCCATGTTCCTGCCCTCCGTTGTTATGTGCTTATGTTCCAGCCCTCTGTGGCTATGTTCCAGCCCTCTGTGGCTATGTGCCTGTATGTTCAAGCCTTCTATGGCTATGTTCCAGCTCTCTATGGCTATGTTCCTATGTTCCAACCATTTATAGTACAAATCTTTGTGTCAGTGTTCTTATGGTACATATTTTTTCTCTATGTACTTATGGTACACACTCTTGTGTATGTGTTCTTATGGTACACACCTTTGTGTATGTGTTCTTATGGTACACACCTTTGTGTATGTGTTCTTATGGTACACACCTTTGTGTATGTGTTCTTATGGTACACACCTTTGTGTATGTGTTCTTATGGTACACACTTTTGTGTATGTGTTCTTATGGTACACACCTTTGTGTATGTGTTCTTATGGTACACACCTTTGTGTATGTGTTCTTATGGTACACACCTTTGTGTATGTGTTCTTATGGTACAAACCTTTGTGTATGTGTTCTTATGGTACACACCTTTGTGTATGTGTTCTTATGGTACACACTTTTGTGTATGTGTTCTTATGGTACACACCTTTGTGTATGTGTTCTTATGGTACACACTTTTGTGTATGCATTCATATGGTACACACTTTGTTGACAGACAGACCAATGTGTATAACCTGGAACAATAATGGTTTGAACATTTCAGGCACTTTTCTCGAAAATAATCAGATATTCTTAGATAAAAACTGGGAACACTTAATCAGAAGAGTTGAATCAAACCTCGAATGGTGCACAAAAAACGCCCCTGCCATGTCTTACAGAGGACGCGCTTTAGTTGTGAACTAACTAATAGCATCGCCGATTTGTTTGTCTTTGTCCACCCAAGGACAAAATTTATCAACTTCGACAAATGTTTCTGAAATTCGTTTGGCAAGGTCGCCATTGGGTTACTGCCGAAACGGTTTACTTGCTCATAAGTGAAGGTGGTCAAGGTTTGATACACTTGCCCACACGTATTGCTACTTTCCGTATTCTGTTCATCCAAAGGTATTTGTATGCTAATTTGAAAAACAGTTTCTCATTCATGGAATATTTTCTCAGGCAGGTACATGGTTTGAATTATGATAAACAGCTATTTATCACACGTCTTAACAAACCCATCGTTGGCCTTCCAGCATTTTATCATGACATTCTTAAGACCTGGTTCTCTCTTACAACATTAAGAAAGGACAAACCATCCACATTTGTGGAAGTGTGTGCAGAACCATTGTTTAATAACCCACTGGTCTTGCATCCAATTCAAAACACACCACTTAATTTGTTACATTTCCGTGAAGCTGGCATCACCAAAGTTGTTGATCTGATAGGTTACGGTAATAATAATTGGCTACAAGTTGATGATTTACATGAAATAGTACCCATATATTCAAAGAGACTGCTTGGTATGACCCTTAATGTCCCATGATACAAAACTATGTGTCTTAGTTTCTATAGTACAAATATTGGTGTAAATATGCTTTTAGTACACACCTTCGTGCTTATGTCGTTATGC